CTTTCCCTTGTTTGTTCACTTCCTTTACCCCCTTTCTGAAGAAAATCATCGCCCCACGAGGTCCCCGGAGCGACTTGTGAGTTGTGGTGGTGACTATATCAGCGTATTCGAACGGTGACGGGATCACACCGGCTGCTACCAGTCCACTGATGTGTGCCATATCCGCTAGCATTACAGCTTTTTGCTTGTCACACACCTGATACAACACTTTCAGTGTGCATAGTTTCTGTAAACATTTCTTTAAACCCATGATTCCATCTGTATTTTCCCTATACCAGCTCGGATATTTCCTCTCAAACTCTAGTAGCTGAGAAACAACTTTATGAGGATGAAATTCCACATTATAACTAACTAGTACTACCTGATCGGCCAAAGCGTGTAATAAGGCTAATCCAGTAGAAATCCCAGGTTGAAATATTTATGTTCTGACAAATACAGAAACTCTAGAACACTGTTTTCACGAATCAGCTTATTGTCAAAGAGATCACCTTTCGGATGCGGGCATAGTCGTATAGCCGGGCATAAGCACTCGCACCAGCAACAATCAGTTTCGGCCTGAAGAGAGTAGCACTTTTCTCCAACTAGAGATTGAAAAAGAAAATAGTCGATGATACATTACAAGATTTAGCATTAAACCGAGAGATGACGATGATACATAGGCCGAGGAACGAGGAACAGAGCCGCACCTGATCGTAGTCAATGTATCCAGTGCTTTCGTTTAATCGGTATGGCATTGTCTCGAAGAAGATCGAAACTGCAGATATCTTCTTGGTGTCCGTCTGAGAAAGCAGCAGGAGGAAAGAAAAATGACTCTTTGAAAGAAAATCTATAAGAATTCAGAACCCGTTTCTTCCAATTGCTAGTCTGAAATAAGAAACCTGATAACCGTGAGAAAGATGACCGCCATGAGGAAGATCGAGTGCCATGATTCTTTCATGAGGCTTTAACAATGCAGTGTAGACATGGAAGTTAGCAGGAGATCCAGACAGAGGTTGCACATTCACTGTTAAAGGCATGATCTTTTCAATAAGCCAATCACATAGATTTAACACAAATATGTATATATATATACACACATACAGTTTTCATATTATCAGAGTTCATGTTTCTCCTTTACCTCCCCACTTTTCAGGATCCAACCTAAAAGCTTCCAAAGCTCGCTTCTGGCACAGGGTCTCTGCCATGTCTATGTACCTTTTTCAAAGCAACAAGCTTCTTTAAGGTAAGTACTGTCTGGTTAATTCACAAGAATGAGGGATTGAAATTTCAGACATACTCATTTCCTCCATAGTATCTGGCGCCGGGATATCCTTCACTGTACTTGTTGGTCATTACAGATCCAACAGCTTGCATCACTGACACTGAGGTGAAGTTCTCTGATGGAATGAGTTCAAGCCCCTTGAGACAGAACCACATAAAAAAAAAAACATCACAGACCTATAAGAACCAAGAAAAGTGTGTTCATCTTGAAATCCAAATATCTCAGGTCAATCCGAAACTACCTTCCATTGCCGAGCTTTCTCGAGCTCGATAATGTCTGCAATCTCTGGATCCACGACCTCTAGAGGTGCATTAAGCTGTTTTGGCCACTGCAACAGTTACAACACAGTGAGTATATCATATGATTCAGACAGGACAGTCACGTCATTACTTCGACCGCAAGCAAACTAAGACAAACCCTAGTGAACAAGAGTCAGAGAGTAAAGGCAGATAAGATTAAAGACTAAGCTCACTGTGACACGAGATCTCTCCTTCTCATCGACAGCTTCACTCGGAAGAGATGACTGTACGAAACAACAGAAATCGGAAATCAGATTATCGAATATCAGATCGAAACTTCAGAAGAAGAATGAGCGAAGAAGAAACAGAGAAGAAACCATGTAGCAGACGGAGGAAGAAGCGTTGAGAAGAGGACGAATGGGCTTGTCAATGGAAGAGGAGAGCCTCCGGAGAGCCATCGCCATCGCCATTTTCGCTTCAGCTCTCTCCTTCTCTCTCGATGAAACCCTAGAAAACAGATTAGAGTCATCAGAGCTCGCTTTAGATTTTATCTCTTTGGAGGCACGACGAGAGATTCTGGCCTCTGGTTATGGCTGAGCTTTTGGTGGCTGCAGAAAATTTATATTTTTTACTTTACATTTTTTGGTAATTTTGTCGTTATCTCATGTCGGTCACTGAAGGTGTTCTGTCTGATTTTGATGAGTCGATGACGACGACGTTTTCTGGTAATTTTGGAACGAGTGGATGAACATAAACCAACTCATTAATTTTCGCTATTTCCATATGTATCACAAAAATTGCTAATAATTAAATTAACGTTAACAAAATTGTTGATGGTCTGCCTGAAAATCTCGGTCAAGAATAAACCTCTGCATGAGCTAGAGGGTTTAGTGCTACTGCCAATTGCGCAAAGGCAGTTTAGACTTTTCGTGTGTAAGCCATTATATTTGTTGAAGAGGTCATCGTCCTCCTTCGGATATATTCTCTGGTTCTTGACAGATTTATGAGTAACCTCATTCATGAAAATTTCATGTAATCTGTAATCTCTTCTTCGTTATAGTGGAATTGATCTTCTCTCCCCGAAACGTAGGCACGAATACTCTGTTCATGCTGAACTCGTAAACATGTGTGTCCTTCTTCTTTCTTCTTTCTTCTATTTTTCTCTGTAGCGTGACTGGGAATCGGTGAGAGATTGCGAAGTCTGGGTAAGTTCTTAGAGGTGTGAAACGTTAATCAGAATAGCATCTATTTTACTACAAAAAATTAGTCAATATTTCAATATTTTTTTACAAAAAAAATAATAATAATCAATGGGATCCATCCGTATTTCCCCGTAACGTGAACTATTGCCATAACCACGTTAGAGGCGTTTTACCGCAAAGGATGCGCGTTCATGGAGTTCCAAGAAAATCAAGAAGTTATATAACCAGAGATACGTTTCGGTGGCTGGAAACATTTAGACGTCGAAATACAACAAACAATTGATTTCAAGTATAATATTCTTCTAGGTACTTGTATTGTATGTGCGCTTTCTACTTCAAATGGACGAATAGAGGAAAGGAATTTAACGTCGTGGGTCTCCTCGTTTTCCCTCGAGATCACGAACTCCGCCACACATTTTTTTATGGCAGATCTTTTTTGTATGCTTCTTCGAAATATAAGGTTTCACTTGCATGAAAACTAAACCTCTGATTAGGAGAATTATCATTATACATATATATATATATGTATATATGGGTCCAAGGTGTTTGATGAGGAACAATTCATTGGTACCTTAAAGAGTTTGTTTATATCATTCGTTGGCCAATCTCGTAAGCGGACTGATCGGGCTGGCATAGTTGGAGGCGAATCTGTGCATGGGATTCCTCGCCTTGTGCCTCGTCTGATTCATTTTGCGATGACCCATTTGTGCTCAACGCATAAGCCTGCAAGATGAAACCTCTACTTCTATATATATACACTCCTTTTCAAGTTTTGGCTTACACAGATTCGAAGACTGTACATATATATGTATAGGTGTTTTGGTGTGTACGTGTATATAATACCTTTTTGTGTAGTTGGACGTTTTCTTGATGAATGCGTTGCACCTTTCTCGACAACTCGATGTTCTCCTGGTGAATAAGGTTTCTCTGCAACAGGGAGGAAACTCGGATAAGATCTATGCATGCATGACGACTTAATTTCTTCAAGGAGATCTTGTGAAAGATTGATGTACCTTCCGGTTCAACTCTTGGATCTCATTTGTCAGCATTTGTTCCTGCAGGGATTCGAGAATCGATACTCTCAAAGTCCATCATGTTCATTTTTGGTTCATGGAAAAAGGAACCGTACCTTTTTCATGCGGATTCCACGCAAGCTCATCTCAAGCTGGTTCTCTATATTTTGCAAATCTTTGATGCTCAAACCATTTAGCTCTTCTCCCATCAACTGCCTGCTTCATTATTACACATGTTATGGCAACCTGCAGATACCCGTTATTTCTGGTAGCTTCCTAACATGATTAGTCTTCATTCCTAATGTCGCCGTGCCGTTTTCATGAGCTCGTGATACAGAGTTTCACTATAACCATTTCAAGAAAATGTCCCAAGTTTGAGTGATCTAGTGGTGAGAGAACATGCAAAGCATGTTTTCACCCTGGGTTCAAATCCAAACGTGGGGAGGGGCGTTCACCTGGGCTTCCCCGGTCCTCTGGGAGATGTAGTCGGGCCAAAGATCCGGTTAACTTCCGGATTATAAAAAAAAAGTACCATTCCAAGAAAATGGACGTGTTTGCTTATCTACTGCACCACTCCCATGTTTGTGTTCTACGTACTTTGGTTGTAATGAAGTAGATGATTTCAAGTTTGAAGAAAAATACAATACCGATGATTTTCCTGCAAGACATGGAGTTCTTGCCGAATAATTGCAGCCTCCCTCTGCCAAAACTATATAATATACAGCGTTATATTGCATATATACAATAATACAAGTTTGAAAATCATATAAGATAAGCTTATGAACGGCACGTTGCGATGCATCTTTCTATTGCAACTTGATTCAGATCTCACCGGTTTCCTCATTTTTCAATATAAACGTGCACATACTCATGGTCTGTGATATAAATGCTAATATGAAAATCCAAGTATACACTGTATATAGTGCTACCACACCATGCAATTTATATAAAAACACACACACATATATAGATATATGTATGTATGTATACTTTGACTTCGGATTCAGGGTTCAACAGCTGTTGCTGCTCCATCTTGGTCTTGTTGTATCGTTCAATAACTGACTTCATGCTGTTCCAAGGTAAAAAATAAAATAAAATGTTTTATAGAATTCGATGAGCATGAAAACTCAACAGGAATATATATTAATATGGATTTGAATCATATCTTTGGTATATGTGTTAGTATAAAGTGAACTCCTAGAATTGAATGGAAGCTTATAGTTAAAACTATATGTAGAAATAAATTCAAGAAATGAAAACATGATTCTAAATTCAAAAAAAAAAAAAAAAACGCGTTGCTCCTAAGGTGAAGTTGCTTTCCTAGCTTAATTAATTTGGCTGAGGACAATGGAAGCCCTAAATCATATGAGAACATGCATTAAACACCAAAAAAAAAAAAATGATCAACCCCAAAACGAAGAAACACAAGTAGTTAGAGAGGGGAATGTCTTTTAGCATAGCATGAGTGTATATAACTAGGCATTATATCAAACGTTAAATTTATAATGTTTTTATCAAATGATTAGATAAATGGATATGATCACCATAAATTTAACATTATAACCAATGTAATCAATATTATAATTCGGGTCACATGGATCACAACTGGAGAAGAGTAGTTCTTGAAGTCAAAATAGTAAAGAGAGAGTATTTTTGATAATAGCCGTATAACTATATATATAGCTTGAGCGAATATTTAAGATACTAGAATATTCTATCACTCCTAAATTTAAATTAATACACGTACAAACAAAAAATCATCTAAAACATAAAAAACTATATATATATATATTCATCACATCTTTTCTATATTATTTCAGTTTCAAACGGTTGAGAAAAACTACCGAAACTTTTAATTGTTTTTAGTTTTCATGTTGTTTTATATTTTTATAATGTCGAGATTTCAAACTTATAAATAAAACTAGCAAAAACTTTCGCATAAATAATTCATTTAATCCGAATCTAAAAATAAATATATTGTTCAGTGGTAAGTGTATCAGAATAAGTTATCTGATACTATATATATATAGTATGAAAATACAGAGCCGAGTAACCGGTTTAATATGAAAAATTTTAAGGAAATTTATATGCTTAGAATCCAATAACACCTCCCACCAATTCCAGTCCCCTCATATAACTTGTCTAGCTTTCCATTTATGATTGAGATATTCCTTACGCTCTCCTTTTGCTTCCAAAATGTATCTAGCTTTGCTAACGAATTATACAACACATATTCAACTTAATTTTAGGCTTCACGGTTCTTCAACTCTTCACAATGTTCAAAACTATTATATATATATATATATATATATATATATATTCTTCTTTAATTTTGTCTCCTCTTACAGATTTTCCTTGTTTTCAAATTTAAAACAAATGCTTTACGGCCATACACACACCACTCTTGTATATACATATGCACGTTATATCTCAACCGCAAGATGCGCAAATTTTCCAACACAGACGAGCAGATCACGCTACTTGCAGCATTTCAGTGAGAAACCCCAACTTTTTCTAAGCAAATCCATGCATAAAATCACATGTGCACATCTACATACATATATGAACCCACACAAGTAAAATAGGAAGATAGAGAGCGAGGAATACATATATATGGATGGGGAAGAGAAACCTGGAGCTGGAGAAGTCGTAGAGCCTGCCGGTGCTGGAGAAGATGATGAGGCCGACTTCGGCATCGCAGAGAATGGCGAGTTCTTTGGCCTTCTTGATGAGACCCTTCCTTCGTTTGGAGAAAGTGACTTGTCTACTCGTCGAATCATCGATCCTTTGGATCACAATCTTCCCTCTTCCCATCAATTTTATACGGATCCCTTGGATCTTGGTCAACTCTCCCTTTCTAGGGTTTCTCAGGGCTACCGAGATGCCCAAAGGAACACGATGAAGGCCAAGGAGAAGAATGCGAAGAGAGAGAGAGAGGGGTAAAAGGAAAGAGAATTGGCAAGTAAAGAGTCAACAATCTTTTTTAGGAATAAACTAAGCATTTTTATGCATATGTATGCGCGCGCACACACACACGCATATATATATATATATATATATGTGTACACCTCAATGTACATGTAAGTCATTTCTTGGTAGATATAAAAGGTACTACATTTACATGTATGTATATATATATAAAGCATAAGGTATACCCCAATGTACATGCAAGTCATTTGTTGGTGTATATGTATATTAATATCAATGTACTTGTAAGCTATTTATTGGTAGATATAAAAGGAAACCCACACAAAATACCTAGGTCATACACACACACTGACGGACTCGCGTACATATATTATATATACATATATATATAATAGATATATGACAGTTAATAGTTATATTTCCCTTTTCTTTTGTATAAGAAAAGTTAAGGAGCAATTTAATGTTTTAGCTTTGCCATTGATTCATATGTAGAAGGGTTAGAGAGCAGTTTTTTTAAAAAAAAGGGTTAGAGAGTGAGGTGACGTTAAACTACAGCTTCTTTTAGGTAAATTTCCATTATCAAAGTAATTCCATGTTTTAACAAAAGTCGTACACATTAATTTATATAATATGAAAAATTACTGAACACGGGTTTTATTTTCCATTCAATTACCCAAAAAAAATGGAAAGAGAATGGATTAAAGATATGCATAGTACAGTAATCCAAATGTGGATTTTAAAAAATAAATGTGTGGATATATTTTTAAAATAAAAAATAATTTCCAAGTACACGTGTCAGACAGCAGCATGGACTTGCTGAGATTCACCGTATTTTATGCTGGCTTTTAAGTTTCCAAATATGGCAAAAAAATAGAAAATCACTTGGCGAAAATTTTTGCTCCTTTTTTACGTCTCTATTTGTAGTACACTACATATATATATATATATATATATATATATGTGTGTGTATATATCTGTTGTCACTGTGTGCGCGCGCGCGCAGACAATTATGGATCCAACTAAGTTGGGATGTCACCAATTATATAAAAGTTACACGCCATACCCATAACCACGAGTAATCACATTTAAAAAAATACAGAACTAAAAATTCACCTACCTATGTCTCGGCAACTACAAATATTCATAAACGCAATTTATCATATATATATATATATATATATAACGCTGATTAGAGTTAAAGGCGTGTATAATTTCTAACATATACATTCATGCAAATATAATATCGTATATGAAATTATAATATTCATAGAAAGATTTGCCTTTCACAGTTATGATCAATAATAAATATTGATACACATCAAATAGCATTAAATGGTCAGACCCTTGGGATCAATATGCAATCTATATTTGTGGATGTATATATGGTCGAATACTGTAGGAGTATACATACACATGCATATATATATATAGATATATGCTTATATATCCAATAATATATACATACATGTATGGAAATCGACAGGAACACGTGGATTGGCAGCAGGAAAA